CATCTATTTCTAACAAAGGCTTTCTTTTTTATTTGTGATTGATCAGTTCACAGATATTTTACTACCATTATTTGCTATTTACTAGTGTTGCACCGATACCAGCACAAAAAATGGTGGTATCAGTATCGGTGAGTACCAACAAATAGGGCACTGATACCATTTTGAGAGCCAAAAGTTTATTCAACTGTTGTCACCCATTCCTGGTAGGCAATAAAACTTCTACCGGATTCTCTTTGTATTAGTCTTTTTCCTGCTTCGCAACGGTAGGCGGCCGCTTGACAAAGCCATGATGGCAATTATTTTACATCCAAGTAGGATGCAGTTCTTCATATATACACACACATCAATTTCAAACAGATGGTATTGGTATCAGCCAATACTACACAGCCAGGTATTGGGTATCGGGGCCAAAAAATGGCTTTGGTGCAACACTACTATTTACTAAAGGGCTTTTTATGAAATTACATTTTTTTTTGTTTCGATTTGTTTTGAAAAATGTGTTTATTAGCTCATAATCCAGTTCCTTATCTTTCCTGCAGAGCTCGCTCAAAACTGTGAGTTCTACAAGAACGCTGATGTCAGGCCTCCTTTTACCTACGCCTCTCTTATACGCCATGTAAGTACGGCCATCTTATCTGTCGGACCTGTCCCTCTGCTGGCGTCCTCCTCTCATGTCCCACGTCTCCATCTTTGTCCAGGCCATCCTGGAGTCCCCAGACAGACAGCTGACTCTAAACGAGATCTACAACTGGTTTACACGAAAGTTTGCATATTTCAGGAGAAATACTGCCACATGGAAGGTAAGATTATGGTAGGAATAGATGAAATTTTTAAGAAGTTGAGTTTTTTTCTTCTCTTTCCTCTGATCGTGTTACTCTTGGCATATTGCTTTTTAATTTATAGATTTTATCAGTGGAAATGTAAAAATCACACAACAGCTAACGGGGTTACAGTTTTTTAAAGATGTAGGACAGTAGCAGCCATTGAAAATGGCCCCTCCCAGTAAAAACGGCAGCTGAATGGCAGCCAACTGCCCTGCAACTCCCAGCTAAATCCCCTCCAACTTCCAGCCACTGACCTTCTCCTGGACATGCATATGTTTTTACTCCGACTTCACCCTTTCACTGAATTGCAGGGCTGACCAGGAGATAACGCTTCTCTTTAGATCTTAATGTCCACAAATTATGACGGAAAGAATATTTTAGTACAAAACTACAGCCAGGTAAAGCTTTACTTTCGTTTTTTTATTTTATTTTATAAAAGAAGGAAGGTGGAAATATTGTGTTTGGGTGTTTAGATGGTAAAAGTTTAATATCCGCAGAGGGACACCCCAGAAAAGTCTTCTTCTTTCTAAAGGTATGTCCAAGTTTATGACAAAATGTAAAAAGTATACATTTTTTGTGACAGTTTCAAACCTAAAACTTTGCTTATAAGAGAGGGAATGACAGAAAATAAAGGAAAGAAGAAAAGAGCAGCTTTCTGATGATGGCTCTAACAAAGGAGAGCTGGGAGTGATGATAGAAGGTTAAGAGACAAAGGTTCCAGGAATATCTTTACCCCCTCATTTGGCTTTTATGAATTTTAACTATTAATGCCCAGGCTCTGTTTCCTCCTTCATTCATCTAAAGGACCTTTAAATATAGCCCGGGCATGGCGTTATGTATTTATGTAGCAGCCTGGTGAGTCAAACGGGGCCGCAGAGATGTATGTCCTTTAATAAGTCGTTATATTTCATGAGCGGAGCGACCGTGTCAGGCGCTGGAAGTTACCAACCAGAGACAGAGAATGGCAGAAAATGGGGAAAGAAGGAGAGCGAGGGAAGAAAATCTAATCATAGTCATTTAAAGTTTATACATAGTAGAGCTTTAAGATTTTGAAAGCAAGAAAAAAGCCTCAGGTGTTTCCCTTATTAGTGTAGCATTACTTGGTTTAGTGTAGTTTGTGATGTTGCACCGATACCAGTATCGGGAGGTTTCTTGAGGACCCAAATGCAGAGACGTGTGAAGATAGATCTGATAGATTTGATTGGTAACTGAGGCAGAAATCCAAAAAGCAAAAAATACAAACAATAAAACACCAAAAACCTTCAGGGAAAACTTACATGGGGAGCCAGAGAAGAGGAAATAACAATCAGCAACAACAAGGAACCAGCACTGAGTGACTGCAGAGGGCAACAAAACAAAGGAGGGACTAATGAGCTGAATAAGGAGCAGGTGTGAGCAGAACTAACTAGAAGGAAGCCGAGGGGAAAGGAAACAAACACAAGGGGGCGACAGAGAGTAACTAAAGACTGCTAGAATATAATGGAAAATAAACCAAAGAACAAAACAGAACAACTGATGACAGAAACCTAAAAACTCAGAGTCAAAAATGGGGAGAACCATAACAAATGCTGCACAGCCAGGTATCGGGTGTCAGTATCAGGGCCAAAAAATGGCATCGGTGCAACATTAGTAGTTTTTTTTTTATTAGTATTAATTCTCTGGCTGTAGATGGGGTCAGCATCTCCTAAGCTGTGGTGCTCAGCACTTGTTGAACGGCATGCTCTGTTGCTGCTTCCATTTTGAAGTGTAGCTAAAATAATTGGTCCTTTGCTTTAGGTTTATAATCCAAGGAAACAGGAAGTCAGGGAAGAAATCTAATTAGAAACGGAAGAAAACAATTAATTTCTGTGTTTTTTAGGAACTGCCAATGTATAGTAGCTGCACACTTTCTTCATTTCTTCACCGTATCCTTCTCTTCCCTCGGTTCTTCCTTGTGTCCTTCTATCCATGCTTCCTTTCTTTTTAGTCATTGTGTACTTCCTTTTTTTCTTTCTTTCTTTCCTACCCTCTCAATAAGAAAATACTACAAACCATGACAATTAGAATTACCAGGTTCTGGGTGATTAATCGATTATATCAATTAATTGTTAAAAGTTAATGAAGGTCACTATTTGCTGTTAGATGTGGACTGATAAATGATAAATAGCTCAGTATGTGATGCCACTAGCTGCAAATATTTAGTTTGTTGTGAAACATGATTATTTCACAGCATTTTTCCACAGCCTGAATATCTTTGGCTTTAAAATGAAGGTCACCCAGAAAGGATGATGGAAATAAAAGCTTGTTTCTGAAAGTAAAAAAAAAAATATATATATATATATATGTATATATATATATAAGATATAAGGAAACAGGAACCTATTAGGCTACTGAATAAAAAAACTATTTATAAATGATTTCCATGGTAAAGAGATATAAAGCTGTCATCAATAGACAGAATATGTTGCTCCAACATCCTGTTAGATTATTCACCTCTTCAATACAGTTTTATTTTGTTTATCCCATTGTTAATCCACCTTAACACCACCTTAGAGTAACATTTCCTCCTTTGAAACAAGCTTAACACCCTGAAATCGATTTAATGTAATCATATTTATTTATCTTTCTTTGCAGTTAAAGCTTTACCTCTGAATAAATCCCTCCCTCCTGTTTGCCCCCCCCCCATCTCTCAGCCCAGAAGGGAGTGGAGATGAGTGGCACATGTGCTGTGACCCACTGTAAATGACTGCTAATGTTTTAACTGGGAGAATTAGGCTTTCATCACGGAGACGAATGCAAATAACACGGCAACGGCGCCGGCGTCTGCGGCGTGTTTGTGCTGTTGTGTGCGAGTGTGTTTGCACTGTCAGGGTGGCAGGCGGAGATTGGGGTCAGACTCATTTACAAAACTTAGCATCACGGCTCGGGGCTGGAGGAGGAGGGGTGGGGGGGTTCCTCCTCTGATTATGGCTGTGTGTGATTACGACTGTGCTGGCGACTCTCTGTGTACGCCTCTTTGGGTGTGTGTGTGTGTGTGTGTGTGTGTAATTACGGCAAGGAGTGATGCACGCCTGGCCTGTCCCTCCCTCTCGGCTTAGAACAGCGTGTCAGAGAGAATATTCAGGATTTAATTATAGACGAATTAAAATTGGTAATGAAATTGGGCATGAACAAACTACAAATAGCAGATGAAAAGGGAGGCCTGTCCCTGGGGGGGGGGGGCTGAGACGGAGATAGCGGTGTGCCTTCCTGCCTGCTCGGCTGTCTGAGTGTGTGTGTGTGCAGATGATGACTGATTAGAAACAAGATAAAATAACCCTGCTAGAAAACTCTCTGCTTCATATTTACTCTCTTCAGGGAGCGACAGGAGGACGTTAAGGGGGATTGGATGGAAAAACATCAATAAAAGTTCAAACTTAAGTCTTTTTCTATCTCCAGAACGCCGTGCGCCACAACCTGAGTCTGCACAAGTGCTTCGTTCGCGTTGAGAACGTGAAGGGGGCCGTGTGGACCGTGGACGAAGTCGAATACCAAAAGAGGAGACCACCAAAGATGACCGGGTGAGTGAGGAGACTACCAGCTTATGGGCGCCGGCATCATGATTGCCCTAAAACGGATCGGCTAATGTTACCCAGAGCTTCTGGTTTGCGATGCATCCGCTCGCTTCTACGTGTTCCTCCTTATTTGTAAGCAGCTGCATGAGATGCAAGGTGGCAGGAAAAAAAGCTTGTTAGCGTGTGTGTAAACAGATGTTTCCTTCCAACCATGGGGGATAATGACGCACCTGCACGCCAGATATCAGACACTTTCACACGTCTGTTTCAAGCAGCTGTTTACAATCCGCCCATGTTTCTGTCTAGAGTATTTCTGAGGTTTGTCACACTGTTTAATTGAGGTGACATCTTTTCACATGTGTGCACAAGCTGCAGTTTAATGTCTCCCTCCTTCCTCTTCTGTCTCGCTGCAGAAGTCCCACTCTGGTGAAAAACATGATTTCAGGCCTGGGTTTCGGATCCCTAAACGCCAGCTACCAGGTAACATTTATTTCTGGATCTTTTTTTCCTTTTGAAACACACTTAGCTGCTGCTAATAATCACTATCTCAATGAGATTTTGGAAACTTTGGAAATTAGAAATTAGACTCTCAATCTGTAGAGAAAAAAGAAAATTATTTTGTTTAAGTTTAAGCATGAAAAATTAAAGACTAGTGAACTGCAGTAGGATTAAAAAAGAAAAAAATAATTTCTAAGCAAACGTTATACATTAATCAGATGGAAAAAATATGAATATAATACACCATTTAGTCTATTATTCGTTTACATCCCTGGTTGGAAAGTATTTCATGAATTAAGATTAGCTTAAAAAGGGATGGGATCGCTTTCAAGAAAGGGACGGCGAAAAAGCTTTACAGACAAACGAGGGATGAAACCAGCAAAGAGTGAAAGTAAACTGACAGAAAATGAAGAGACATATGCAAAAAAGAAAGGTAGATTACAGGTGAACTGACTCAGATCGTTTGTGAAATAATAATAATAATAATAAATCCAATTTGTACCGCACTTTTCATTAACAAAAATCTCAAAGTGCTACACAGTGCCAATAAAATCAAAGATAAAAATCAACATCATAAAAATCATGTGGAGGCAGAATAGGCTTGCTTAAATAAAAAAGTCTTCAAGCCTCCAAATGGAATGAAATGACAAGAAAAGCAGCAGCTGGATGTGATTGGACTGATTACACAGAAAACGAACCAACAAAACCACCACTGAACTGGAACAAAAGATCTTAGTAAACAAAACAAAAAAACTGAAAGAAAAAGACACTAAAGACAAAAATAGAGAGCAAGAGAAAAGGCCTTATCAATATGGAAAGAGCCAAAAAACAAAAACAAAACACATCTCCTGAAAGTGAACATTAAAACTCCAAATAAAGAGATAAAAGTAAACGAAAAAAAGATTAAAATTCAAAATAAAAAGGTAAAATAACACATAAAAGTAAAAAAATAAAAAGAGATTGACTGATATCCAAATTACTGCTACGAATCTTAAAATGTGCTCTACTTTATAGTCTGAGGAGCCCCTTCTCCTTATGATCACAGCAGCTTCTCTTTGGGGGCCTGTTTATTCCAGCAGAAGATGGAAACATTCACTTCTGACCATCTTTGCTGTCGCTGACTGAAAAGCCACCCCACAGCATGTACCTGCCACCACCATGCTTCCCAGTAGTGATTGTGGGTTCACATGGCTCTTTTGAGTCATCTGAGTTGTTTGATGTGTCAAAAAATAGGCAAATAGGCCTTTACCACTTCTTATAAACAGAAGGCAATTTAAGCATTTTCCTTTTTGATGATTAGTGGAACACAGAGGCTTAAAAAAAAAGCTTTCAAACCCAGAATGAAAAATGAAGATGTGTAAAATTCTAACTCTACATCAGCTCTTTCTTATAATTAGTTGATTCCCTCACTGCTATTACACCGCCTGCCTCCACCCACACATCAGCTCTCACTTTCATGCCCGATCTCACAGCGCGCTCACCTCAATAACTTCGCCTCAGCGCCGGTTTTCTGTCAGATGAGCATACCCCGTCAGTCCATCATACCCGTAGCCAATACGCATGCGCAAGACGTCACGTTTGCAATTAATCCCTTTAATTTTGTACGAAAAATAAACTTTAAACTACCTCATTTATGTATCCATTTAGTCATGTACAAAAAAAACTATTTAAGGTGAGATCACCATACACTTCAAAAAATACCAGAAAGTAAGTAATTAAATTGTTTTTTTGTACATGAGTAAAGGAATACACGCCCATTGAGGTAGTTTAAAGTTTATTTTTAGCACAAAACTAAAGGATAAATGTGTTTTGACTATGAGTCTGCCGGTCTGACCAGGTATGCTCATCTGTCATATCAGACAGAACTCAGGCGCACCGGATGCACCTCTGCTGCAGGGATGATTATAGCATCGAGCAGTTAAGGTTCCTGCATAAAATGATGATCCTGTGATCCAGCATTTAGATGTGAGCTCCCAGATTAAAGACGGAAGCTGCTCATGCTGGCTTTGTTGACTCGTCTTCTGCAGACACAGATGTTGCACTGATGTTTCTGTTTCTCATAGCATCCCTGTTCAGACTTCAGCGTGATCACACACTTTTTTGACAGGGTCCAATAAGAGCAACTCTTAAGGCAGAAAGCACTGTATATAAGTGCCCCCTAGTGGTAAAAACATGAGATGACTACGAGCTGAAATGAGCTCTTCATGCCATTTATTCGTTAGAGGATTTTTTTTTTTGTATGTGAGGTCAAAAATTACAGATTTCATTAGAAAGAGTTGATTTAATTTATAAAAATAAATAAAATGTTTGTGTGTGTGTGTGTGTGTGTGTGTGTGTAGGCGGCTCTAGCAGAGAGCAGTTTGTCTCTGCTGAACAGCCCCCCTCTGGTGACCCCTCCGTCTGCAGCCAGCCTAAACATGCTGCATGTGGGTCACGACGATGTCAGCTCCACCGTGGAGCAGGTCAACAGCAACGGCAGCTGCAGCCCAACGCTCAGCCCTCAGCAGTACAGGTAGGACGCCTCGCAGCAACGCACTGGTTGGGGATGAAGAAAGTTTCTAGAAACACAGTTTAGGAAAAATGATCTTGCTGAGGTAAAAACACAGGGAGGTTAACTAATAATTGTTTTTGTGCAATTCAAAATTATGCAAACTGCAAAAACTGATCTGAAAATGAAAAATGATCTTAATTTTATTGTATTTGTCCTTAATTTGAGGAGCTAAATGAGATAATCTGCCAGTGGAGTGGGTATTTTTTTAGGCTTACAATAAAAGAATAAATTATTTCCTGTAAAGTCTATTCAGGTGAATTGCATAACACATTACTAAATGCTGCATGCCCTCAATCACCGGTCTTTTCTCCGCGCTGCAGCCACCCAGTGCACGTGAAGGAGGAGCCCACCGAGGTGGAGGAGGACAGCCGACCAGTATCCCTCCTGGCCGGCGTCACACACAGCCTGCCGTTGCCAAGCGACGAGCGTGACCTGGAGGAAGATCTTCCTACCGAGGAGCTGGAGTAGGACCGGATCAAAGGGGCCGCTCTAAGATCAGTCCTTAGCGCTCTTTAATCAGCGTAAAGAGGAGAGAAAAAAACAGCATCCGTACACTTACAGAGAAAAGAGGAAAAAAAAAAAAAAGTTTTTTTTTTTTTTTAGTTTGTTTTAAAGAGAGTTCGAACAACAGAGAATGACATTGAGAAACTCTAAAACAGGGTTTAGATGACTTTTGTTACGTTCAGCCGCAAAAAAACATGACTGTGGAGCACTGCTTTACCTCCCCCGCCCCCCCACCTCCTCCCCCCAGCTCAGAGGTGTAACACCACTTTGTTCAGATACACTTTCTCCCAAAACCTGTGCACGCACACATGCACACACGTATAATTGTTTACCTGTCAAAACCACACCTGGGTGGAAAAACAAACATGTCTTGGGGACGAAACAAAAAAAAAATAAATAAGAAATAGCTCCCATGAGTCTCGGATGTTCGCTCCTCATCCCACCTGACAGAGGCGCCTTTCCTCTCTGCTGAGGAGGAACACTGATGTGCGTTTGAAAGAAGACATGCACAACACATAGGATCATGTGTATATAGATTTAGTGAGGTCACCCGGGGGGGGCAGGACACCTCTTCTTCCCTCCCCTCTTCGAGTCAGACTTTTGTCATCAAACGCTTTGATATGAGAGGAATAAAAACGGGAGGAGGAAGAAGGACGGCGTCGCCCTGCTCCCTATCTAGGCCTCCGTCAGCATCGGGACGTTTTTTCTTTTCTTTTTTTAAACTATTTACTTCTCCTTAGAAGAAAACAAGACATTTTTTTCCTACAATTACCACAGCCCACCCCTCCCCAACAAAGACTGCAGGAAAAGGTGCTCTTCTTCTTCTGCTCTCCATCGCAGATGAGCTTCGGACACTTTGGAGGGGAAGAAGAAATGACGGGAGGCAGCGAGAGACGAGGGAGGAAGTGTCTACAGAAGCTTTGTGACAAAAAAAAGAAAAAACTGTCTGTGATTTTGAGAAATAAGAGAAAAAAAAGTGTGGTAGCTTTTGTCATTTTATTTCAATGTTTTTTTTGTTTGTTTTTATTACCTTTGATGATCAATATTCCCAATATGGGTTCGGATGTTTGTCTGTTTTTTTATTTTTGTCGTAAAGGTTGTTTGATTTGCTCCTGTTGTTCGCACCATTCCAAATAAGCGTCGGCAAAATAACGAGTAGAGATTCTCTTATTTTTGTTCTGTTTTTTTTTTATTTTAAAGATGCGCAGTATTGTCCCCAAACATCCTGCCCCTCAACAGCTTTTCTCTCCCAAGTAAAGCAGGAAAAGAAAATTGGAAATAGCACTTAAAGAGTTCCCATTAACCACCAAACTTGTTTTTATTTCAACTCTTTTTTTTTTAAGTTGTGTATTTACTTAAGATGTATCTGTAATGCTTTAAAAAAAAAACAAAAGTATATATATAAATATATATATCTGCAGTCAGAGAATACCTCATCCCACAAAGGTTCTTCCCAGAACTGTGTCCAAATTGATTAAGAAGAAGTAAGGGGAGATATTCCTTAGGTGGGACACTAAATGTGGCGACTCTGCTCAGCCTCAGTTCAAAGCTCTGTGGTTGTAATTGTTACTGTGTAGAAGCTCTCTGCGATTCACTGTGTGAGTTTGTGTTTTCCAGGAAATAGCACGCTAGACTTTATTTTTCCTTTCTTTGTTTCCTTTGGGCGTTGAAGCGTAACTTTTCTCTACAGTTTCAAACCAAATTTGAAGCATTTTTTTTTACTTTAATCTAATATCCTCTTTGCCATGTTCCAGGTTTTTTTTTTCCTTTTTTCTTGTTGTTTTATTTTAATTTTTTTGTTACAGGTTACCAAAGAAATACGTAGAAAACCAAAAACCCTGTGCTTTATTTTACCCTTTTGTTCTTTTTGTAGTTTTATTTCCTCTTTAAAGAAAAAACAAAAGAGAGAAAATGGGCCAAAAGATAAGAATCACATTTTTTTTTTTTTCTGTAATGATACAGACATGAGCGTTGTTTCCTAAACTTGTAACGGATCATTCCAAAAAACCAAAGTGTGTAAAACAAGCTTGGATTTTAGGAACGACTAGAGGTCAGGTTGGAGGCCAAAAATGGAGACAGTTTGCACGGTTCCTCCTAAAATATACAATACAGATAGAAGAAAAGTGACTCACTTTTATCCCAAATCTTGAACAAATACATCCCAAAAACTTGTCTCTATTAATTTTTTTTTTCAATATTGGCAGGTATCCGATCAAAAAAGAGGAACAAAATAAATATTTCATTGAAGTTCACTTAAGAGGACGTGAACCTCAGCAGGCCTCAAAAAGGGACACCGTCTAACAACGAGAAATTACTCCAAATAAGTATGAAACATGGAAGAAACAACCCAGGGACACATTTCTAGTTTAGGGTGGGTTTTCTTTTCTGATTTTTTATTTTTTAGTTAAGGCCAAACTACATGTTTGTTTTCATAACCTTTCCAAGGATTTTATGTTTAAACAGGATATCTTCTTGTTACTAAAGAGACAAAGTGCAAAACTCAAAGCTGGCAGGTAGAGATGCTTACAAAAAAAAATAAAAATAACCAAAAAATAAGACTACCTCCTTTTCAAAATTGTTCAACACAAAGTCAGAGGGAATCTAAACTCTCTACTCTTCCTCCACAATAACACCAAGAATGCCAAAACTGTGGTTACACCGACTTTACAACAACGGTAGCCCGATATTAGGAGACATCCAGCTGTGAGATTACTGTTGAATATTGTGATGCTATTGATTCCAACTGACTCGCCTTTTTCTTTACTCTTTCCGTTTCCATCATCCCAACATTCCTGTCACCTATAAGGAGCTTTTTTAGGATCTCAGTCTCTATGATCTTTATTATAAAACACAGGGAAGCTCCAAGTTTGAATTCATACCTGCAGAAATACCGTAGACTAACAAACATCCGGTCTTTTTTTGTGATTGCGACAACATCCGCATTTTTTCAAACTATTTTTAAGGTGACTTCCTTTTTATTTCAATTGAATCCAGAAAAAAAAGGTTCATCTTTTTATAAAAACGACTACCTCTCTGTTAGCTGCATCTTGCAAAGAAATATATTATTATTATTTCACCAGATCAGCAAAGTTTTGCTGTTAATTTCATAACAAAACCCATTGTTATTGGTTATTACCAGAAAGGTACAAAGACCCAGTCTACAAAAACAATCAAGGTCATTGAATCTGTAAAACTCACCACTACTAGTCAGATCTAAACCAGGAGGAACCGCTGGCGTCCAGAAACTAGTCGATTACTTATGCTTTAAGGTACACCTGTAAACAACTGTTTTATAAATAAACCTAGATTGTTCACAGGTCACATTGCTTTCTTTAGCTTGGCATAACATGATGCATTCTGTATATTAATGCTTGGCTTGTCTCTTTAATGTTTCTTGTTTTTTATTTTTATTTTTTTTCTTGTTGTAGAGCTTTCAACCTGGATTCCTATTCTGTATCGCTAATGCTGAATATATGTATTTATCACATTAAGTGCTGCAGGTATCTTGGTTTTCCTTTTTTTTTTTTTCCTTTATTGTTTCCATTTTTTTTTTATTTCATAAAAACGTCTGGGACGCATTTTTTTAAGTGTATTATCAAAAAGAAAAAAAGGAAAAGAATTGAATTTAGGTCAGTGGTTTAGGAACACCTGTTTGTATATTTATCTTAGCTAGATCTATTTTGATACCTTTTTGTCTCTGTATGGCATTTATGCATTTTTAAAGAAAAAAAAAAAAAAGCAAAACAAATGGAAAATGAACTAAAAAGTTTCTTCAGTGTTTATTGATACCTCAGATGGACTTTTTTTTTCTCTCAAAGACAGGACCAAAACCTCTAAAAAGAAGATGAGAAAAAGGAAAAAAAATAAGATAATGTAGCCCCTCTCTTGCTTTAAAGAAAAAAAAAGTATTGCTGTTGGTACTTTCCGATGCCAACATGTGACGCCTCCCTCTAAACCCCTGACCCCCCGTCATTCCTGTGCCGAACTCCGACCCGCAGAGCTGCCAATCTTCTGCAGGAGCCAAGGGCCCGAGTCAGAAACCAAACAGGTGGGGACTCGCTGCAAACTGTTTCTCCAAGTCGAGCGAAAGGCGGATTAATGACTGACACTGTTGCTTTTTTTGTTGTTTTTAGTATTATTTGTTGTTGTTGTTATGATACTCCTCCTTTTCCTCAAAACCAAAACGTGGAGTGGCTCTTTGAGATGCAGCTCTGACTACCAAAGGCATTGTGAGCCAACCATGCTTTAGTCCAAACTCCTGAACTGTAACCAAAACCAATGTCACAACTTTAACCAACCAAAAAAAAAAAAAAAAACCACAGAGCTACTTCCAAATCTCTTCATCTACATCTCTAGCCGCCCTCACTGATAGCAGCTTCCCCTCATCCGGTCCACGTCCCTTTTTGGCCTGCGTCCTGATGAGTGATTGGACAGTTCTGAGGCATCATGGGAGGGGAAAGGGACGCTCAAAGTGGAGCTTTTTTTTTGCCTGATGGTATTATTACATAGACAGCCAGATTTTGATGGAACTACCACTTTAACGATCCTCTGGTTAAACCTTAGGAATGTGTGTACATTTACAGCAGTGACTCTCTTTCTTGATTCTTAGTTGAGTTGACCTGTTTACCTCTTTATTCCTTTGGTTTTTGTTTTTTTCTTGTTACGTTTCTTGTTGTTTGAAAGTGTGACCCGAGGAAGAGGCGGGAGCAGGGACCTGGGCGGTTGCTTTAGACAGACAGACAGACGATGAGCCCGCGGCCCTCCGACCCTCCTCCCCCCGGGGTAGCCATGTAATGCCAGTCACTGCCCTTTTCCTTCATGCTGTATAAAAACACACACATATATCTGTGTATTTGTAACCTGAATCTTCTTGTGTCTGTTCATGCAGACAATAAAAAAAAAACTGTACAGTAGGTCTAGTTGCATGTAATCTGTACTAATTATTGACAATGGCATTATAAAATGCAATAAAATACTTATTACACTGTCTGAGGCTGCATCCGCATTTCTCCTGTTGATGTCCTCACCGGGGTTACCATAGTTTACTGGACACTGAAATGGAGAAAACATTTTCCCTAACTGAAATAAAAACAGTTTTAAGAAGAAGGGCTGGAATGAAAATAATATTTTTGTCATGAAACAGAAAAGAAACGAGAAAAAATGTATGAAAACAAGCTTTTTTTTTTTAACCAACCCCCGAAAAGTTGCAGTGGAAGTGCAACTAAACAAAAGCTGCAAAACATGCCTGTAGATCCAGCAGGCAGGCCCTGCTATTGTAAACGCATTAAAACATAATGTTTTCAGCTAGTGGTGTTACAGTAGATTATTTGCTATATCCGACAATAAAAAAAGTGTCGGGCTGACTTTGCTCTGCGCAATGGACACTAATGGAGTTCATCAGGTCGGTGCAGGTTAAAAAGCAAACAGCAAATTCAATTCATTGCTGAAGTCGATCCATCATCCAGCCCTTTTTAAAAGGCAGAAACTAGGCTGTTGGACCACCCAAAGACACTTCTGCAGCGGCTTCAGATTTTTTCCACCCAGTTTTACATAAATTTTTCACCAAGATCCTAGTGAAAGTGTGTGGCCTGGCGGCTCCATAAAGCTTTTTCTATTACTTCCCAAAGTGGGTTCATGAGTAAAAATGTAATATTTTTCTCCCTGCACCGCTTTTTGACTAGTTGAACCTTGATGGATCCTGGCATTATCAGCGTGGAATCAGGGAAGAAAACAAATCGTTGGACTAACCTGCTGATTCAGTATATTCAGGTAGACAGCTGACCTCATTCTTTGATATACTTTTAAATATACTATATAGTCCAACTGACCAACCCTAGTGACCCCAGATTAGAGGACAGGTTGGTATATAGGCACTAGGCATGGTGGTTGCATAAATTCACCAGCCTGTCTTCTTACCATGATGCCCCCATCGCTCCTGACAGGATCAATCTGGACTCATCAGAGTATATGATCTCCTTTCATTGCTCCAGAGGCTGATCTTTATCTTTCCGTTGCAAACTGAAGCCTTTTTTTTCTGGTTAACGTCACTGCTGTCCAGTCACAACCCCTTGAGTTCTTCACTATTAAACAAATCTCAGAGTTCTACTGTTGTCAAACATTTTAAGTGATTGCCTATCCTGATAATTCCAGATTTTTTCAATAACTTATTCTTTCCTCGAGGATAATGGTTCCCATTTATCCTTCAGTATTCAACAATTTTGGCTGTTTCCACTCTGCCAAGGATTGGACTCCTCTGAAACAGCCTGATATAACCTCATGTGGACCACGAGTTTTAATCACTTGCTCCCAGCTGAAACATACTCTAATCTGATAACCTGTTTGCTTAGTTATTCCGGGTGGTTCTGGCCAGGTCCTGCATAGCTAACAAAAACTGCATTTTCTAAATCATGCTTAAACTAGGAATCTATACCCTTTATATTCATGTCTATCTTTTGATCAACCTTCTGATAAGGATTCAGTTAAAGTCTAAAGTCAGCTAACAAAACTTTGTAAATCAAACCAAAGTTTGAAAAACCTAAAAAGAGGTCTAAAACTAAACTCGAGCTAAGCATTATTAATATAAAGTGACAAAAAAAAAAACAATCAAATCTTTTTTCGATTTTTGTAGAAGTCTTGAAGGTTGTGGCCCCAATTAGACCAGCATCATTAGTGTGAGTCTGACACATAACAATGTCTGTAAGGCTGAGGGCTGTCTGGATTCAGCACAGCAGTCTGGAGCGCCTTTCCTACCGTGGATTTTCTTGCAACTGTTGACCCTGTGAAGAACAGGAAGTACTAGCTACAATTTCAGGTAATCAGACCGAGCCCATGTGGAGCTCATACCTAATGCAATCAGAATGCACCTGGTACAGGTGAGGTGGTACTTTTGCTTGTAGCAGAGGGAAACTAAAGCTCCAAAACAAATGAGTGTCCAGAGATCAGAGAAAATAAACAAAACTGAAGGACAGCTAGTGTTCTGTCAGACCAGCATACCTATAGTCAATATGCATGCGAAAGAAGCCAGATTTGCATTTATCCCTTTAGTCTTGTATGAAAAATAGACTTTAAACTACCTCGACTGGTGTGTATCCCTTCAGTAAAAAAACACCAACAATTTAAAAACACTTCAAAAAACACAAAAAATAAAGTAATTAAATTGCTTTTTTTGTACATGGCTAAAGGGATCCACACCCTTTGACGTAGTTTAAAGTGTATGCTGGTCTGATTGGGTATGCTCATCTCACAGAACACCGGCAGCATATGTAGGTGTAAAAGGGAATGAGGAGGCAGATATTAGCCAAACAGACCCTAAAGATAAATGTTCTCAACTTAGGCCCAGTCCACACGAAGTCAAAACGAACACGAAATGCTAATATTTTCCAGAATGTTTGTCGTAAAGACGGAGACATAAAATAAATGTGATCGTCCACACGAATGCATGAAAACGCTGCAAAATGTATGCCAGGCCTGTAAGTGGCGCTGTGGTGCCAAAGCAAAAATAGGCGAAGAAATGTTGGGCATGCGCACTAATATTTATACATGGTTGCCCTGCGGGTCCATTTTCGTGGTTCAGTCAAATTCAGGTGCTGAACTATGTCGTCGATATTGCTCTGTTCTTCCTGGAGATATTCCAGAAGAAGAAGATTCTGTTGTAAGCCCGACATCAGGGTGAGTAGCATGAGCAGCAACCATTCAACACAGTACGGCGCCATTGTTGTTGTGATACTGTGTCGCGCATGCGTGTTTAGAGGCGACGTTATGACGCATGCGTGTAAGAAAAAAAATGCGGTTAGAGCTTAAAGATGGAAACGCGAAAACGGCGTTTCAAAATCTTCCCACTCTGAAGGCTTAATAAAAAAAAGATTGTTTACAGACCCCCGAAACGCCGGCTTCGTATGGATGAGAGGCTGGTTTGGTGAAAAATTTGTGCGCTTAGGCCAGGGTTTGACTTCGTGTGGAAGGGGCCTTAAAGATAACTTTGAATAAAGCTGATGGGAAACCTTTTATTCATAACAAGATCCTTAAGATATGACAGGAGCAATGGGATAACAATGGTACAGGAAGGTATTTATAATAAAGTATTTAAAGAAATGTATGGTAACGAAAGCCAAAGAGAGGAAATAAGTATCATTCAATTAAGAATGGACATCAGAAAAAGATTTGTTTTTATTGTACCAATGAAAAACAGGTGAACATGTTCTAAACAGACGTAAAATACTTTTATATTCATTATTATCTTTAAAAAAAAGATTATAACAGCAAAGTGTCCAAAAGTCTTCTACTGAAACTCTTTATCTAGTAACGATAAACATTATTTTGAGAACAGGGAAATTGATTTTACCAAAACCAAGAGCAAATACTGTTAAGAGAGTCTTCATCTACAGAGCAATGGACGCATGGAACAAACTACAAAACAAAAACATATTTAACTCGGTATTAAAATGTTTTTGACAAGATAAAATAATTTGAAATATGCTTTTAAGTGCTTTAAATGTGGTCAGTTTTGTATAAAAATGTAAACAATGCTTGATGATATGTATTTATGTGTATGATACCACAACTCAGAACAGAAAGGAGAAGCAAGACAAGACAGACATTGGGATTACTCAAAACGGGTTTATTAAGATAAATGGGCTGCAGATCTCAAGTAGCATTGGCTAGGGCTTCAGAGGCAGGAAACTCGGGTTTACAAGTTCAGTCCATGTCCAGAGAACGAGGTAGGATCTAGCCGGTGGGCTGCCATCAAAATGTGGTGGGCGCCGCCCAGAGTGTCCCAGATGCCGCAACCCCAGAGAACATGCAAGATTCCTAAGCCAGGTCAGGCAACAGATCAGAACAGGAACAGAAAGGCTCAGAGGTCCAGGAGTCTGAAGCCAGGTCAGGCAAACAGATCAGAANAGAAAGGCTCAGAGGTCAAAGAGTCTGAAGCCAGGTCAGGCAACAGATCAGAACAGGAACAGACAGGCTCAGTGGTCAAAAAGTCTGAAGCCAGGTCGGGCAAACAGATCAGAACAGGAACAGAAAGGCTCAGAGGTCAAAGAGTCTGAAGCCAGGTCAGGCAAACAGATCAGAACAGGAACAGAAAGGCTCAGAGGTCCAGGAGTATGAAGCCAGGTCAGGCAACAGATCAGAACAGGAACAGAAAGGCTCAGAGGTCAAAGAGTCTGAAGCCAGGTCAGGCAAACAGATCAGGACAGGAACAGAAAGGCTCAGAGGTCCAGGAGTCTGAAGCCAGGTCAGGCAAACAGATCAGAACAGGAACAGAAAGGCTCAGAGGTCCAGGAGTATGAAGCCAGGTAAGGCAACAGATCAGAACA